CTAGCTTGATGCTAATGACAGTAACGTTAACTCAGCGGGTTGACAAAGTGCCTCTGCTGTTTCACACCATCATTTCCCCCTTTTACTCTGTGTGGTAACATCCCTAGAGGAAATATTAAAAATGCTGGGGTGTTGTTGTCATACAGTTGTCTACGGCAGCAGATCGTTCTGTGTTTCTACTGGTCACAGTGACGGCTGTGATGGGAGAATTGGATCTCAGTGAAGGGCAAGTGGTCCATAACTTTAATTTTGGAGACAAAAAATGTAGGCTTAGCACCCTGTGGTCCACTGCCCAATAGGAAATGTAAAATACTCAAAAGTACTTTAAAAGTGCTTGAGTTACTTTTCTCAGGGAGTAACATTGGAAGTACTTTTAAAGTAATTGAGTTACTTTACTCAGGGAGTAACGCAGTAAAGTAACTGGTTACTTTTTTAGAAAGTAACGCAGTAACATACTTTGATTACTTTTAAAGTAACCCTTACCCAACACTGACTCTGGCACCTTAAGCTGCTTTCATGCTGCCGTGCAATAACTTGCAGCTTCCAGCCATTTTGAAGAGGGGAAGGAGGCAGAGGGGAAGTAGTTTTGAACATGGCAGCATGGAGCAGTTGTTGTCCACGTGAATGCGTACAGAATTTGCTCTGCCACACTGTTCACCATGTTGAACTTTTGGTGGTAGCGTTAGGCTTTGGCTGATCAAATAAGGGTGTGGGCATCACGGAAGCAGAAAGACGACAACATGATTGAGCAGGCTCATTGAGTAGACGCGTTTTTGGCTGCTCCTGTTGACTTCTAATAAATTAATACTTTTTTCAACCTCAGAATCACTCAGACTTTCATAAAAAGTACATCAAGTGATCTGTGAAACCATCTACAATGTCACAAAAGCCTTGTAAAGAACAGGGAGAGAGAGCAGGTTGTCGAGAAACACCACCTCTAACTCCACGGCTAACTAAGAAGCAGATGCTAATGCTAAACACACTGAGGTGCTAGCAAAGGCAATTGGTGCCATTCAAGCATCAATCGACTCGTTCCGTGAGGAAAACCGGGTGTCTATTGCCACTCTACACTCGATGCTGAGTACGTTTGGCCAAAGAATCACAGATGTGGAGGATGGACTGAACGAGTTTGACAAAAGACTGAGTAATGTGGAGTTATCACAAGCATCACTGAGCAAAGAAAACAAGTTGCGGAGAGAAAGTGATATACTTGGAGAACCACACTAGATGGCCAAATATACGCATTGTGGGGATTAAAAGAAAACACAGAGGGATCTCAGCCCTCAGCGTTTATCACCAGTCTACTTCTCGACATGTTTGGAGAAGAAAGTTTTCAGACACCGCTGTGTGTGGACAGAGCCGACAGGCCCCCAAAGCCAGGTCAGGGTGACAGCAGTTCACGGCAATTCATAGTGAAGCTACACCACTTTCAAAACAAGGAGCGGATCCTGTGTCTTGCAAGAGAGAGGAGCCAGCTTGCCTATGGTGGATCAAGAATACACATCTTCCCTGACTTCAGCCCGAACATCAGCAAACGATGTGCCGTCTTTTCTGAATCCAAACAGGAACTTCACGCTGCGACGATCAAGTTTGTACTACCTGGCCACACTACAGTTCAACCACAACAAGAGGCACAAGAATTTTTCAGATCCCTCCTGGGGGAGGCGCTCACGTACATCAACAACAACATCGCTGGTGACATCTCCATATCTTACCATAGAAGAAGATATGTGAGGTAATGGGCTAAGCTTAGTGAGATGTTTATAAGTCCTGCGATCTAACTGCATCCAAGTGACGATGATATTACTATGGACATGATTGCTATGCCAACTGTTCAGTTACCCCCCCTGCATTTCACCAGGGGTCTTATGCGGCACTGTTTATGTCACAGTTGGAAACTAGGAACTTATAATTCAGCAGGGGTCTGTTTCACAAAGCAGGTTCAACAAACTCTGAGTCTAATCCTGAACTCTGAGTTGATCTACTCTGAGATAGGAAACTCTGAGTTTCCAGTTCCAGAACAGCTGATTTGAATCAGTTTTATCAACTCAGAGTAGTTTCACCTGGAGTTAAGTGCGTGCACCACAACTATAAAAAGCCAGCATCAATGGAGCCCCGATTCGACGAGTCACCATGGCAACGGGGAAGAGGAGGGCTGCGTTTTTCACCCCATTAGAATTAGAAATCTTAATGCGCTCATACGGCGAGTTTGCACACGTTTTCAAAAAGAAGTGCAACACCGCTGCAGCTGCAAAAGAGAGGGAGACGGCGTGGGACAACATTGCTGCTCTGGTCAATGCAAAGTTTAAATGTAGTCCTTTGCAATCACAATAATATTACAGGGGAAAACTGCTTGAATGGTAGCCTATTAATTTATTTCATTTAGGTGCAATCCCGCGGGGGAGAAGTGCACTTGGCAGCAGTTTAGGATGAAATATAAAAACATTGTTCAAACAGGTAAGACCTCGGCATAATCTCATGGGGGTACCTCATTTTGATCATGTTTTACATTATAAAGTAAATATTAAGTGGCTATTTGACTGTGCAGTTGTTTTATCCCCAACATAATGTTCTGTTAAATAATTAAGCCTATTTAAACTAACACAGACTTCTACTCAGCCAACAGAAAGAAGGCAGATGCCCATAAAACGAGCACACTTTTCTGACCGCCCTGCATACAGTTGCCTTACTCAAGTGCTCAGCATCTCCGACATTGTACAAAAAACTTCCATTTGCAAAGAAACGCAGCGCATTTTTATACAGTCTATGAGCACAACACACAATATCTGCTGGGATGTGAGAGCATGACTACGATTGGTAATGTTGCAAATAAGGACGGATTAGGTTGTGTAGATGATGGACTGTGACGTGAAACGGTACCGCTCAAAAAGATAATTGTGTGGAAATGTTAAAACATCAATGCGCGGTCTGATAACCATCTCCTGACGAATAGGCCCATTTCATTCTCTGCGCAGTAATGCTGCACCTTCATCCATGGGATCGTTATCAAAAGGACATGCCATGTTAGTGAAAAAAGTCGCCACCTACTGTGCCTAATGGACTTCTAATATACTGACTCTGATTTTTTAAATGACAGACGGCAGAACTAGGCTACGCCAAAACTCGCCTGCTGACTGAATGAATGAGGAAATCAAATGGAGCGTGTGGCTCTGAAAGAGGGCGGAGACAGAGAGAAACTCGAGGTTCACTGAGAAAAACCTGGTCCCAACCAGGTTAGGTTCATAGAGTCTGTTACTACGGTAACTGACCGAGAGTTTAAGTTACCTCTCTCTCTGAAACAGG